AAATCAGAAAGAAGTTTGTATAGGAGAAAAATCAGAAGTTTTTAAAAAATTCAAATAGAAAACATACCCATATTTCGTATTCTTACACTTCCCGAACTCACCGAAGTGATATTCCAAAGTGTTTGATGAAATGATGCAATTACCATGAATCCTTTACTGTGCGTCATATGCTACAAATTAATAGTATGATCATTTTAAATATGAAAATTTAAAAATAAATTCAAAAATTCAACCTTTAAACATCGAACATTCTATATTAGTTCAATTATTTTAAGTGACCTTCAGTTAGAAAGATTTGGCAGCATCGAAACGTTGCCAAATCTTTCTTACCTTCATATGTTCATTCAAGGTAAATTCAACAAACCAGATATCGTTCAGTTGCAACGGAAACTAAAATGACATCATCACCCACACGAACTTTTTCTCCTTCTGATCGCTGTTTGGAAGCGGGATGAATTGTCCACCAGCACGCTTCACCTAAATCGATGTTTTATTGAGAAGTAACATTGAATTTTTAATAGTTTACTGTTTAAAATTTCACGAAATACTTTTTGAAGTGTTTTTAAATTGTCTTAATTAACAACTCTATCTTAAGTTACACTATTTCTTACCTTCGTTATTTTCTTGCACGCCAACATCAAATGCTAACTTATCGTTGGATGAGCACGATGACAGACAAGCCAGGTACTGTAATCGTAATTGAAAGGAATTTCAAAATATTATTTATAATATAAATGAAATCCTTATTTAATTATTATCAATTCCTCTTAATGAAATTCACTGAAAATATTCCCACATGGAATAATGAATGAATAATGATTACCTGATACTGTTTTATTGAAGCTTACTTGTATAATCAATTTCATCTCTCATAATTTCTGAATTATGCATTAATGTTGGAGCAAATTTAAATTACTTTAAAATACAAAGCACTTCATGATAGACTGTTAATTATCAAAGAGATTTCACTCAATTAAACAAACCATTTCACTTTGAACATGTTTGAGCTGTATTGCATGGCCATACAACAGGGTTTTGTGACCTCCACCACTACCTGTCCCTCTCTGAAATGAAGCTTGAATTTCATCTATTCATAAAAGAATGAGGAAAAGGAAATAAGAAAACGAACAAAATTTTCTCAAATGTGAAATTTCAGTAAATTTCAATTGAAAATTTTCACTGTAAGCATATATTATTTTTTATTTTTAGCATTGAATAAATTACATCTGAATCGATATATTGCTTAGCTTAGCAAAACATTTGCATAATTTTGAAGTAACCTATAACTGATTCGCAATATTGGAAATTAAAAACTAAAGATAAAGATCCGATATGATTGAAAATTTACCAGTTCTTTATCATTACTCATCATTTCCTGAAGTGCTCGTACCGATAACGCATTATCGATATATAGCATGCACATAGATATGTCTGGTGGAAGATCCTGAAGTAATTAATATTATTAACTGAGTTAAATAGCGTTAATTTGAAAACGTAATGAAATATTTGAAATGAGAAAATTCTCTTATTTACCAAAATAACATTATATTTTCAGTTCGAGAAGTTAATTTCATGCAAAATTACCCGATCTGAAACATTTTCCAATGAACACATACGATTACCGAAACCTTCGGTACAGAGACAAACTCTTTCGGAACCGAGGACACCTTCACGATTTGCTGATGCCATACATGTCATCGCAACGATATCACCCTGTAAAGTTGCTTGTTGATTTCTCATATAATAAAGCTACACAAATATTGAGATAATAATTAATTAAGCAAAACAGAACTATTAAAATTTTCGTCAGAAAAAGTTAAAATAGCACCGTCCGTAAAAATGAAATGTCATCCTGTTCTCCATCGCCTGTTCCTTCTTTATCCGTCATTTTTATCTCTCTTTCTTAGACTCGAAAATCTGAAAAGAATTAAATTTGGAGAGAAAAAAAGAAACAAATGCAATTTTAAAATGTCGCGACAAATGTCTTCAAAAATATCTCTGTTTAATTATAACATTTGAAATTAATTCACAAATGAAAATAATCAAAAATTTTTTGAAACAATTTGCAAAAAAAACCTTTCGCTAACATTCAGTGAGAAAGTGAAATGAATTTTTCGTTTTTTTGGGATCTTCGTTATAAGGGATGCCTGTCAAGCGGCGCTGAAATTAATTCATAATAGAAAATAATGAAATGGGTTATGAGTTAAACTTCAGAAGAAGCGCACATATTATCCTATTATTTCATTTAATTTTACGTTTTGAATTTTAGAGGTCCCAAAAAATTCCTACAAATTTTATTGGACAAGTCAGTATTAATAAAAAAATCTTAGTTGATAGATTTGAAAATTGCAAGATGTCAAAAATTCAAGTATATACTAAATTAGCCGATATAATTTGCATGATTGTAGGCCTAAGTTTTTTTTTTAATTTCGCGTTTATAAAAGTGTAGCTTATCCACCTCCATATTGCTGAATGCGATAATTGAGTTATTAATCAACCAAGTTCAGCTCTACTTTTCATAAAATTTATTTTTATTTTATTACAAAGCGAAATTAAAAAAAAAATCCATTGATAACGTTAATACAAACTACTTTTCAAAACTATAGATAACTTCTTTTCTGCTGATAATTAGAAATATTGAAGGCAAAAGTCCTTAACTTATCATTTTATTCTATTATTAGATAGTTTTATTTAAAAAAGTTAAGCAATATGTTTTGCAAGAATAAGTAATGATATTGACCCTGATAAGGTTAATTATACTGAATTGATGAGAAAAATAAGAAATCAATTGAGAAAAAATTTTAACGCTATGCATGAATGATAAAAAAAAATGGCCAACCTAATTTAAGTTATATAATACTTGTAATAGTATTATATAGGAAAGAAATTAATCGATCGAGGACATATCATACTAAAAATTTTCACATTTTCATATTATCCTATTTACTGCCACTCTATCTGTCCTCTCTTTCGAACACTTCCAAGATAAAATTTGCTTTTCTTCAATTAAAATATAAAACTTTTAAGGGAAGATATTATGATGACGTAAGACTAAAGTACTTTTCTATTAGATTCATTCCAATCCAGTCAGCTGTTAAATTGTAAATTGGAAATAGTGAGGGAGGTGAGATGGGATAAGGAAAATTTTAATGTTATTTGGCAATTCAAAGTTACAAAGTTCGAAAATGAGTGACGAAAATTAATAGACAAATTAATTAATTCAGCGGATACCATTCAAATAGGAAATGCTATTTGATTGTTTTAAACCATTGAAAAAGAAAATTTTTTAGAAAATACATGCATTAAAACTTAAGCGTAAATCAGCGAAAATATAATTTAAAAAATCTGAAATCATAAAAATGATGTATTATTTCGTAATGAATAAAAAAGATCATTGAATTTTTCTAATTTTGATTTGGTTGTTAATCAGCGCTTTTGTTAATTGCATGTCACCAACTTGTCCATTCAGTTCTTCTTCCTGTTTCAAAGCTGGAATAGTATGCTTTAATCAAATACTTCATTTATATTTCAGCAAACAAGCGATCATCATCATATGTACCTCCAAGATGCGTGGTTTAACTATCTACGATAATTATCAGTGCTATCAGTTGAATAAGAATTATTTCCATAAGAACTGTGTGGAATTTTTTTCAATTTTACATTTTAATTATAAATTAACATATCCAACAGAATGACATTTAACATAAAGGTAAGGAAATAAAATTATCAACAGAGATGAAATTCAAAAGAAGTATATAATTGAAAGTTAATACAATTATTGTGGTTGATAAAAGATGCAAAAAATTGGAATTGAGAAAAGCTGCTCCTAAAAGTAACAATGTTAGAAAATTATAATTGAAATCGTTGAAAATTGATATTTAAATTTAAAGAGTGGCAAAAAAAAAAACAATCACTGCATTATTAAGATAGCTAGAGAAATCATTCCAACAGAACTGACCAGAATGTGTAAAAGTAAAAGATGAAGAAGAGTGCAGAAGTCTAAGCATAAAAGATATATCCAACCAGCTAACTAAACTACTCAATTTTGATTAGTCTGTTAGCATTGCTGTGAGATACATTGAGAGATTGCCTCAAAAAAAGAATAAATATGAGGCTGTGTTAGAAAAAGCTGAAGATTGCTAAAGCTCAATCTTTCGAAACAAACAAATACATCGTTTTATGTTGTCAGTATATGCACACACTTAACACATGACACATTAACTGGTGTACACACATACACATACACACACACACACACACACACA